AAATGCTCCACTTTATAACTACATTATGTTACTAAGCGGTCATTATGCGTAAAATTTATAATTTTGTATCCACGAAAGTAGTCAATCTCGGAAAAGAAGGCTATCTGCTACAAACTACAATAAGTTTAATTATCTGTGGCTATGAGATAAGAACATTATTGTATGATATTAATAACGAAGCAACTGCATGCTTGCTTCGGAAGACAAGTCGAAGAAGGATGATATAAGCACCTCGGCACAGGGCGTGCGTCGCGTGGTGCCGAACCAAAACAAATGGAGGCGACACCGTTACACCACTTCGCGGAATTAAATAAAGTAAAAAAATGACAGTAACCAACGGTAATCTTTGTTCGTGTAAGGTCGAAACCCCGTGTTCACGGTATAGCACCGCCGACTCACAATCTAAGAACGCAACGATATAATTTGTCGGCAATTAAAATCAAACTGAAGCGATGCGATGTCGTTGTCCGACGATAAACACGCTCCGCAACATCCGCAACTATCTGCCAAGTAAACTCAACGAACATATGTGCGCAAAACCCCGCCGAGTAGTAGCGCGTCTTTTTAAAAGGGCAATAAATAATGACAAGTCGGCCGCTTGTCACCTTTAGTGCACCCAGATGGCACAGTTCCCAGTGAAAACACTTTTGGAATCTCTAACCGAATTTTAAAGCCATTGATACAAGTGGCGTTCACGTTATAGCTATTACGAAAGTTTTCTATCGAAGATTTAGATGGATGTCAGCGAGTCTACATTATACGTGTGTCGTGGTGTGCCACATTCAATTGGAAGTACTCGCCGGTCCTGAAGGACTGGTATCGAGGCAAAGAAGTGATACGCGGAAGCCATCTCGCTTCTATAAAGTATCAGAAAAAGACGAGTTTCTCTTCCAGGAATGCTTAGTACACCTTAACGCTTAATGTAAACAACAAACCTGGAGAAAAAATAAGCAGTAATGTAGCTATTGTGTGGCCATGAGCTGAAGACGGAAGACTGGCGGCGTGGGAGTGAGCGCGGGAGCTAACCTGCAGCGCCGCGGGAAAATGTCGCTCTATGGGCGCGTTCACATCGATGACAATATGTGCAAAAACAATCGGAGTATGCGCCGTCTTAGAAGCGAAGAACAATCAACCAGCAGGTAGCTCACATGATCGTGCCACAGATGTCGATTGTAGGAAAACCTATTTCATTACTGTGCTAAAAGCTTTGATATAAGAGATGAGTTTATTACCCCTCAATACTATTAGCCAGTAAATTAATTAAAGGAAGTCTGTTGTCATGTGAATCGGAGTTATCACAGCGTGCAATGGCTTTTACGCAGTTTTCATGTTAAATCAGTTTACGATTCGTTTCTAAACCTTATTGGAGGGTGGGTGGATACTTAAACCCTAGCTAATGCAAATGTTCAATTGCTCGTCCCGATGAACGCATTAAAAACTAATCAGCCATATAAAAACTTAATAAAAAGACACACATTCATTCAAACAGTCTACAATTTGTGCCGACAAATTAAAATAGCTCGGCGGCGCTTGACTTGACAAATTACTTCGTTGCTTCCCGTGACATCTTTATTTGTGTTTTTGCTTATTAATTATGTGCAATAAATAAATCGTAATTTAAACGAATACTGTTGTAATTAACTATGCAGCTTGGTGTAAAGATATCACAAGAAGGATGGTTGACACTTCACGCTGGCTACCTGAGGACAAGCATTGCTATTTAACGAGGGAATTCTTCCAGTTCTTTTGGCATCCTAGCTGACGACAGCACTGAGGATTTTTTATTGATCTTTTATATTACTTGATCGAGTAAATTGTAGTTACTTTTAATTTTCCATCAGTTTAATATAGCTTTAGTTGTTATTAACGTGTGATATGGTTTTTGTATATGTATGTAGATATATATTTTAATTTAAAACTTCATGATGAGTAATTTATAACATATTAATATAAATCTCGTATGATTATAGTATACCGAGTTTTAATTGCCAAAAATATTAACATTTACACACACATTTTACAAGATACAAAAAGCTATTTCGTACGAATCGCCTTGGTATATTTCTGTAAATTTCTCATTACTACAGAGTGTAAACGTTAACTGGAAGAATCGCAGTGAACAATGTTCATATTCTCATTTATCTGGTAAGTTTCTGTAACCTAATCTGTGATTACGCCTGGGCCGGTACTCACGTGAAGTTTACATTACGACCCGCTGCGCTGTACACGCTATTGTGTCCAAGAATCGCACCAACATTATATGCGTATGTATAAACACGACGACAAGTGCAAAATATTGTAATACTTTCTTTCATATATACTTAATATTATAAAGAGGTAAAATTTGTAAGTTTGTATGTTTGTAACTTTGTATGTAAGGGGTAATCTTTGGAACCGCTGGTCGGATTGCCAAAATTCTTTCACTGACAGATAGCTACAATATTCTTGATTGCTATAGGCTATAAAACGTCACGCTACGATCAAATGGTGCTGAGCCGCGTGTGAAACCGCGCGGGAGTAGTTATATATATTTGTGTACGTGCTTAACGGAGCTTCTAAATTAGAGGATAATATCTGGATATATTAGAGGTAAAAGTATTACTGTATGTGATAAAAGTGGAGCTAAAAATATAAAAAATATTTATTAATTTATTAATATTTTAAATTATTCTTAATGACATATAATAATAATTCGACATATAATACATAATACGTTATGGTTTGTCTTGATTCTAATCTTAGATTTATTTAAACAGCAATTCACACAAGTTGTATATGGGCACCTAACATATGGACCTAATTGTGCTCTCATCATTGCATCTTCTTTTAGGGCATTTGACTTCCTTATCTCTCTCGCTATCATAATTATTACTCAAACTGTCCACTTCTTAAACTAACAGGATGACCAGTGACATAGTGAGCAGAGCATGTCACAACAACATGATTAGACGTAGTATAAACGATGGAAACAGGTCAACATGACTCCGGGAAGGTATTCGGTTAAAATGTTTGTAATGCGCTAATTAGAATTTATGTTTGACCGTTGTTATGTTATTGCAACCATGTGCCTCATTTTAGATTCAAATAATTTGAAGATAGAACTGTACAATCAACGTAGTTCTAAATAGATGGTGAAGAACACCAGTAGTTAGAAATCTTGTAGATTTTACTAGACTCCAAGATAACGTCAATTGGTTTCCAATTTGAACACAATCAGTTTTTGTTGTTGATACTAGATCTACTGAAAACGAAAACGGCTATAAAACATTCAGATGTTGGGTTATAAATATTCTTCAAACGCGTCGTTTATATAGTTTTACTGAATACGATCAAAAGGAACGAATGACAAACCTTGAACAAAGCGAATCGGTATAAACGCGAATGTTTATACATATAGCCATGCTATATGAAAATTGCAGTGCATATTATTATAATTAAATCTGGTACTACGACGCTCTCACCTTAGCCACAAGCCACTTAATTGATTATACATACACATTATAAGGGCCAAAGTTTGTAAACTGTTTACTTTACAGAGATAAGAGTTATCACAAATGTTTTGTACTTAGTTTTAATCTGTTGTCGGCATAATAAGAATACCGGTATTTATTATGTTTTACAATATACAAAGTTCGTTATTGAGTATTTAGCATGCAATGCAAAGCAAATATGCTACTATGTATTCAAATGCTTGTTGAATTGAAATGTTGATTGAAGGGTGATGATGATGTAACGTCACATGTGATAGTGGAAAATGGATGAAGACATACTGGACTCAGACCTTGTTACAAAGTGTAAAGGTGTGACCAATAAATAAGTGATTTATACAAATTTTTAGATTAAAAACTTGGAGTAATGGTTAATATGATATCAAGGTATAATGCGAGGGCCATAAAATAATCTGGGATGCGGTTTTTTGCCGCTGTGAGACGGAGATAAGTTATTTATAAAAAGTTAAACAGATTCTAGGAAGTACTTATATCAATGTGTTGTATATTATATATTCGTTCCAATTGCTCCAAATGATCGTAACGACCATTTTACAACTTGTGTATTTTTCGGTAAAGATTTAAGCCTTTCAAAGCTATTCTGGTTAGAATTAACCTTATGAGAATAATGGTTTTAATTGTATTTTTTAATATTTTCGAGATAAATTAATGTGAAGTAAGGTTGACAAAAAATTAAATTAAATAAATGGTTTTGTGTATTACTATAATGGTACCGAAGTTATACAATCACGTTACCCTATATTACGCGTTCTCCTGACAATGGATGTATTGGTTTTTCATCATGTACTAAGAAGTGAATGAAATTAAAAAACAACAAAATCGTGTAAACGATTCTTTGCCAAAACGTGACCGCAGGTGAGAAATGTTAAAAATCGCTAGATTTTTATTTTGTGGCGTTTGCTTGTAAAAGACTTCAACGCACGGTGTTGTAGTACAAACATTCCTACGGGTCAATAATATTTAGTTGATTGTCAGTAATTACGCCATTAACCTGATGTTTGTTTGTATTAAATATCTTTTTAATGTGCATTAAGCAATCTGTTATAAGTAATTAAAGCTGCACAACCACAAACTGTGTACAGGTGATTGGTAAGTGAACACTTGACACTGAATTGTTCTGGTTTCTTGGTAAACAATAATAATTTATAGCATTAGCCTCGCATACGGATATTGACCCAATCAGTTAACCGCATTAAACCGTATCTCTTTGTATCACAATATTCGTGCGTAATAAATTAAGTAATTAGACAGGCGGTGAATCGATTAATTACAATTACTTCTAAATGCCGGTACACAAGGACGCTTAAAGCTTTCCTCCTCAATTAATGAAAGCTTTGAAGTCCCATAGGTAATATAATGGAATAGGATGTGGAAGAGCATTTGGCATGCGACCTTAGTACAGTGATGTGCGTTAATGATGCGATCTGTTGGTGCATAAATCAGCTGTGCGAGACTCCTACGTAAACAAATTTAAACACAACAAGTACTCACCGTAAACAGACGGCAGTATTGAAAATAAAATCACCTCCAATGTGGTCACAAAAACAAACATAAACAACACAAATCCAGAAATGTCAGTTTGAACTTATCAGAATGAGTAAACGTTTAGTACACCACTTTATTCACTTTGCGTCGAACGAGTAAAGTTTCGCTGTGGCAGCGAGCGCGGTGCGTGCGTCGTACTCGGAGGGCTCGAGTCGAATGCTCGATTGGTGCTGGCTGGTCGCGCTAACCCGCTCGCCGCTCGCCGCCACCGCATGCGTTTCTTGTGGACGCGCTGCCCGCCTCGCTTCCGTGCGCCTCTCTCAGTATGAGTTCGTGCCAATATGCATTATACTCGATGATCTGTCCACATCCTGCGGATCCTGTGCTCTCTAACAATAGCTCACGAGGGTGATACTGTCACTTACTTCCACACGCGAATGAATTTTTGGACGCTTATTAATGTAAATCTGCATAATTGGGTACTTTATTGATAAGCTTTTTTGTAACCTAGCTGTTTGTTTTGGTTCATTATTAAAATATTAGTTTAACATGTTATAATATTTTTTGACATTGACATTTGGTATTAGTGGCATTTGTAGCTTTTTTGGGACTAACCCCCGGTTTCCGAAAGGCCAATCAATGTTAAAATCAATTTAATCTCTTGTCAAGTCATCTGATTGGTTGACTGGATTATCAACAACCAATCAGATGACTTGACAAGAGATTTAACACGTGATTAGTTAATTTTAGCGTTGACAAGCCTTTCAGAAACCGGGTGTTAAACACTTACTATGTTATGTTTCCCGCTGGAGTAGTAGGTGGTGCACATTCTTAATATTTTAGTTCGGCACTACGAAATCTAAGGGATTGAATTATTTTATGAAATAATAAGTATATATGCTGTTGTTTCATTTAAATATAAAATTTAAAAAAGGAAACATTGAATGTTTACGTTCCATCCTTACAAAGTCGCCTGTAGTGTCTGTCTGCAAAAAATATATCTCAGAAACAACTATACGGAATTGTATGCTATGTGTAAGTATTATAAGTAATTTGTCAAGATTTGGGTATTACAGCTTTTCGAACAAAAATGTGGCCAAATTTTTGAATTGATGTTGATAAATTACATTGTCTTTATATTTTCTGCAATCACTAAATGCAAGTATACTCTCCAGCTATCATCTCCATATAAAAGGCTTAGAGACCATCGTGTTTTATTTTCTAAAACAGTGGAGGACCTTATTCCAGCATATTTATCTTTGTTTTTTAGATAATTGAATTTACCCGAGTCTTCAGGTCCACTCAGGGTTCCTCAACCTTTTCTAATGATTGTGCAATAATTTCAGTTTAATTTTTGACATGCATTTTCATTTAACGTTGATTCTTACTCTTGTTTTTTTGGCATTTAAATGTTTCTCGTCATGTGTCGTGTCTTCTTTATTTCGTCATCAGGTCAGTGTATGTAAAACGTCAATAGTCGTTTATAGCTAGTGGTAATTTTGTTGATCTCTAATGCAAGATCTTCTTGTATGTAGTTGTTGAGTTACAATCGTACTTATGTATGTTTATATTAAGCACGATTTTACATTACTCGTTTGAGGAAAGATATATGATAGGGGAGGATCCTCCAACCAGGCGTGGTGTAATGTCTGACCAGCTACTGGCCTACAATAAATTGTTAGTTAAGATTTTCTATCATTATTTGAATTCTCGTAAACTTTATTTGAGCGAATTAGGATTTGTGACGTCATATACACAAACTTACTCGTCATATAACTTTGATCGACGATTCTCTATCTCCGTTGCCAGACTTGTGCTGTGTTTCTGATAAAAATTTTGATATTGACATATCTTAATAACAGAACCCCGAATTGTTGGTTTTTGGGATATAAACGAAGGAAACTAAATTATATATCTTAGCTTCCAATATTATCGTCTTATTACAATCGTTGCAGGATTCAAGACAGTTGTTCTGACGCTTGAGAACCTTGGTTAAGAGGAGTTGCAGTTGTCAATTAAATGTGGCGATGTTGTCATTAATGAAAAACAACTATAGTTCTGCACACATATTTGTCTTTTTGTGTGCGTTGCTGGACCATTTTCATCACAAGTGTAGAGTAAGTTCTATCGGACGATTTAAAACTTTTAATGATGTACTCACAGGACAATATACTATATTTATTTTACTTTCTTGAATTTTATCGTAGTCGGTATTGCATGTATTTATGAATAATAAAATTTATGTTGGAACACACATTACATCACTGCGTAGATTAAAGTAAGGGCACTTTCTCAGTCAGTGTATCCCTATGTGTGCTTAAATTTTTAAAACTACGCCACACCGTTGGCATGGAGGTCTTTTGATGATTTTCCCCCACACAAAAAGGTACTAGTAGTATTTAAGTAAACTTTTATCAACTCAGCTGCTTTATCTGGGGGTAATAAACCGTTGCTTATAATCACGTGTTTCCAGCGCCTTGTAGCTTGGCACGTGGCGTTGCGCGTCGGTAATGCGCGTGCGGTCGCCTTTGCGCGTACGCATGTTTCAGTTTTGTATACATGTAACTGTTGGTTCACTGGGGATAAATAATTGTTGCCATTTTTCTTCTTCTATAAGTTATGTTTATAATGAAATCTAAATGCGTAGGCAATGGTTCTTTTCGTTTTTTTGGATGAGCAATTAACAATAAAGATTTATAAAAGCTTTTAAAAGTAAAAAGACAAAAAACCATTATTTTATTATTTTACTTATAGATACGTTTGTTCCGTCTTTCCGTCAGTTTTTTGTAACAAGATGATAATCATACACAGAACTCTTTTCAGAATTCGAAGCTAAATTTCGAAGATCTTGTTAATATTAAAGACGTTTTGGTAAATAAATCGAGAGAATATCTTGGAAAAACGTACAAATATGTCCATTTCTTTAAGTTTAGAAGCAGCAAAGTAAATACCTATAGACAGTGGACATGAATCAGATCAAGTCAATTATTCTTCAGTAATAGAGTATACAATTCTCAAAGCTCTGGCGATTGATGAGCGACAGACGAATACTTCATAGCGCGGCAAGACGACATGTAAACAGTTCGCTGCTGAGAAAACTCCAACTATCTCTATGTGTAAAAAGTAGTTTTTCTCAAACATTTCAAAATTATTTTTATATTTTGTCAAAGAAAAACTTTTTTTGCCTTAAATCCAAATTATATTTTATCCGTGTTGGTATACTAGATGACTAGTATGACACTATTCTACATAGCAAGAGCCTATCTGTTACTAAAAGTAGTTACTTTTGCATCTAGAGGAGTCCCATTTGATATATTGTATAGTCTATAGTTTAAATATTTGAAGAAGTGTGATTTATTATTAGGAACTTTTTATTGTTCTATTTCTTTTAGTATCTGGATGGAACACGGCTTCTCCCTGTGAGAAAAATTTGACACGTATTAGCTGACGATGTCAGTGATGTGCAGGACAAATTGAGACGAGAAAAATTTTGTTGTATGATTCAACGATTTTTCAAAGGACCGTTACCGTGATTTAAAAGGTTTTGATCGAGAACATAAAATACAATTTTCTCTTGAGACTTCGATAATCCAAACAATAGACTGAAAAGTCAGCTACCTACGTCACAATGGGTACCGTTAAGGACAACACACGCTCAATCAGTCACATGCACTTGTTTCCGGAGTGAGTGGGTGGTTATCGCGAAACTGCTTAGAAGTTCATTAACAAATCATTTTCACATTTCTTTACGAGTGTTTAGTGTAACAGTAATAACACCGGAATTCTAGTAGGTAATAAATTATTAACACGCTTACCACACGAGTTAAACCTTACAGTTGTCGCGTGACTGATGTTTGTTAAACATACTAGTTTAACCCTTTAAGCGCCGCTTTGTGCTGAATTACAAGTAAGTGACATAGAAATATGTGTAACTGACACAAACAAATTGTCAAGTTGTTTATAAGTTCACTTTCTTTGAAAATAGTTTTTTTAATGCAATATAATTACTAATGTATCGGTCTTCGTTTTCAGATTTGAATGTAAACAAAAATTCCTTGCATACTAACCATTACTTTTTTAAGTCCCATAAATGAAATGAAATGCTTCTTTTATAACTAGGTCAAGGAAAGTTCATTGTTATTAAGCATCTACACATAAATTGTAATGTAAAAAGTGAAAACAGGATATTAACAAAATTACCGTCTGGCATGCGAAGACAAACGTGAAAGAGAAGAAAGAAAATTGGAGGAAGAAATAAGGGATTGCGCTTCCAGTGTTATATAAGGACACGTCTGCATTTCGAAGGGTTAATAAAACGTGACGGAGGCGTGACTAAAGCGCATGCTAGCGTCTTACTTTTTACGATCATGTTTTCTTTCAAATTGCCATAAACTGTTTATGATTTCAATTCCCCTATTCCGCTTCCAGCAGAATGTTTGATGTCAAGATGTAAACAAACTGGAAGTCATTAGCGATACGTCAAAATAAAGGGATGTTGTGACGAATTGGTAATGGCTATTCAGTAGTAAAACATTGTAGAGTAGGTATCATTGCGTTCATTATTTTTAATTCATATAATAACTGTGTGTACGGTAAGTACAGAGATTAAGTATTATGTAGTTATGGTTGAAACAATCATCGTGTACTTAATGACAGTTCTTTTACATTGTCATTTTATAAGTACTTTAGTCCTGTATTCAATAAAAAAAAATAGTTCTAAATATTTTATTTGCTCTGCATATTGCACTTTGTTTAATGTAATATGTCGGCAAATGAGCAGACGGATTACCTGATGGTAAGCAATCAGCGCCGCTCATGGATACTCGCAACGGAGGAGTTACGAGTGCGTTGCCAACCTTTTAGGGATTAGGAATTTGGAGATTTAGGGATTGGGCCTCCGGTAATTTCACTCACACGGCGAAACATAATGCTATGTTTCACGCCGGTTTTCTGGGAGGCCGTGGTATCACTCCGGTCGAGCCGATCCATTCGTGTCGAACCATGGCTCTCCCACACTTACTTCAATAAGTGAAAAGTGTTTTATTTACCTATAATTAACTTATACATGTAAATTTATATATTATTGCAGATGGTGTAACGTACGATGATAACTAAGGCCGCTGTCCAGTCATGATTGCGGGTGCAAGTGCATTCATGTCTCTTATAAATGTCATTAGGTTAAAACTTATTATTACTAAAACAATAAA